GGGAAAACTTACAAAAACCTTGTAAAAGTCAGTATGTTGCAATAGATGTGTAGTGTCTAACGGTACCATTCACAATGCTAGTTAAGTTCTAGAATATGATTTTAAATTTACTGGAAACTACATTAATTTGTGTGGAAGCACTATTATAAAATATTTTTTCCCTTTTCAGATAGACAAAAAAGCCATGCACAAAGTTGGAATGGTACAGAGAGTTCAAAATGAAGTGAAGATACATTGTCAACTGAAACATCCATCTATACTTGAGGTAAGAAGGGCCTTGAAGAGAAGGGAAGACTACAGTTTTGTATATGTTACAAAATACTTTTACCTTTTTACTCTGCTTTTATGTTCTAGCTGTTTAATTACTTTGAAGACTGCAACTATGTGTACCTGATACTAGAGATGTGTCACAATGGAGAAATGAGCAGATATCTGAAGAACAGACAGAAACCTTTCTCTGAAGAAGAAAGTGGGTTTGTTTTTATGTAGTTGCATTTTGCTTATTGAGTGCATATTTAATTTTGGTGCAAGTTTTCTTTGTTTTGTTTTTAGTTTTTGTTTTTTTTTTCCTACTTATTTCCTTTCGGACAGTGTTGTGTAATTTGTCTGCTTGTTTTTAAAGTACTTCATTATACAAGCATACATGCTTGAAATAAAAATTGACATAAGATCTCTAAAGTCGATCTTATAGTTTTTACATTAATTTTTGTTAAGGTAGAATGTGAATTGGTGACTGAATTGGAACCATCTCACTCCACAAATGTACTCACTCTGTGTAGTTGTACTTCTTCATTTCTAGTCTGTCTGGTACAGCCTCAATTCTAAGGTGGATGTGAAAATAAGGTGGCTGTTTCTGTTACTGAGGCCCATGTTTTAGCTACTGGTAGAAATCCTTGCTACTGGTGTTGAGAGAGAAGGGAGAGAGAATCCAGCTTGACTCAGATTTCAGGTTTCCAGGGCTGGAAGTTCAAAGCAAGCAATCTCCACTATACTTGTACACACCGTGCACACTGAATTAAAAATCATTGATGTGAGTTTTCATGTTGTCATTCCCAGAGTTGCTTGTTTGAATAATCTTATGCCTTGGCAACTACTGTTGTTGTTGCATCTATTTTTAGACACTTCATGTTCTAGTTGTGAGGATTTTTTTAAAGTACCAGAACACTTTTAAGTCCAGTTTATTGTTCTTATTAAATCACTGCATCCTTACTTAGAGAGTTATAGGGCTGGCATAGCCCAGGGGTTCA